CCAGTGCCAGGTGCGTCCAGGCCCCCGTGCTGTCTGCCTGGGATGAGTGAGCTGAAGGGGCCACCAGGGCTCACCAGCAGCGCTGTCCCCGGGTGTCACCTGTCTAGCTTCGAGGTGATGAAGTGCCTTTGAACAGGGAGGTTGTCTCATTTAGTCAATCAGCCTGGTTAATCGAAACTCCCGGGGTGGCGGGAAACACCATCGGGGTCCTGTGCTGGGGAGCAGGGGGCATGTGCCGCTGCATCGCTGATGGTGGTTGCGGCAGATTGTGTGTGTGTGTGTGTGTGTGTGTGTGTGTGTGTGTGTGTCTGGTGGGAAGGGTGCAGTGGGGTGGCTGGGGGCTGTGGAGCTGTTGGGGACTTAGGAGGGGTCCTTCCTCCTTGCGGTCAGTCCCCTCTGGTCTGCAACAGAGTGGACATGGGGGTGGGTGAGAGTGCAGTTATCAGCTCTTCTGCGATCGGCACAGATCCTCTGTAAAGTCTTGAAGGTCGTCTCCTAACCGGGGAGACTCTCCGATTTCTTTCCCCCACTGGGATGCAAAACTGCTCCCAGGGTAGCGGGTCCTCCTTTCCATGATTGGGAAACTAGGACAACCACAGGCACCATAACTGCCACCTTCCGGGGTCCCTCTGAGGACACAGGTGACAGGCACACAGTGGTGGTGTTGGGTGAGGGGTGGTTGCTGTCATCCGGCTGCCATCTTTCTCTAGACTTGGGGATGCAAAGAAATGGGCTCCCTGGGTGGGAAGGGGTGTTGGCAGCGGGGAGCCCGGCTCTGCCCTCCCTGCACGGCCCGGATGCAGAGTCCTGGCCCGCCGGGGGCTGCTGCAGTTGGGCCTGTGCTTGGACGGTGGAGCCAGGGTCCTGTAGGGTCCCTCCTCKTGGTGGGGACAGGAGGGGAAGATGAGCTGAGCAGGGAGACTGGATTCAGTGGAGGGTCCTTGTTCCCCAACCTGCCAARCCGCAGCCTGGTTGCGGCCCCCGCGCCGGCTGTGGAAAGCCTGGCCTTCAGYGGGGCAGAACGGTCTGGAGGTGGATGAGGATGCTGGGTGGGGAGYGGAGGGAGGAGGAGAGCCGGGCCGGCTCCGGGGTGTCCTCAGGATAGCTGATGAGCAGCAGATGTGCYGTTCCCAGGGACCCCCAGTAAGCTGCCCTGGGAGCCGAATCCTGTTTGCTGCGGAAATTGTTTTTGTTTAAACCTTGTGCTGCTGAGGACCACGTGGCCAGGGAATGGAGGCCCGGGATGGGGCGGGGAAGGGACGCTTCTGGAAGATGTGGGCTCGGTTCGCCTTGTTTTTGCAATCTCTCCCAGCCTTCCTGCCAAGAAAATTACTTCAAAGGAGAAAAGATGACTCAGTAGACTTTCGAGCCTGCATTCCCGGGCCTTAAGAGGTGTCCAAACGYATCTGTAGGTCAGTGTGGCAACTTGGAACACACGTGCGTACGCGCCCTTGCACACACACACACACAATCACACACATACACACACCCCAGTTTCTTYTTTCAGGACCACTCACATTCTGGGCCAGTGCTTGGCCACGGGTCAGTTTCTTAGAAACTTTTTAGTTCGAATATTACTTACTCCTTAATCTCTATAGCCCCAGCAGGCCAGATTCCCTTCCCAGGGGCAGACCCAAAGGGACAGGAGAGGCGAGAGGCTGAGATTCAGACTGAGCCGCATTCCTCCCTGGCCTGCCTGAGATTTGTCCCCTAACACCATCTGTTCACCCTGTCTCCCTGCTACACGGCGTCTTCGGAAGCCAGAATCGGGGCTTCCATTTCTTGCTCTTGCCTCAAGACCCACCCAGTGTTCCAGATGCCAACCTGGTTCACACCGGGTTTGGCTTTGCTGTTAGAGGACAGTGTGGGGGCTGCTCCCCAACAGGAGCAGGAATCAGGAGAACCTGTGTCCACCCCAGCCTGTCCACACKGCGGGCTTTAGCAGCCACTCCCAGGTGAAGGGAACAGCTGAACGCCGCCAGCTGCTGGTTTGGGAGCTGTGTTGCCCTTGGGGGGCCATGATGCCCCCCTTCTGTGACCCCTGGGGGAAGGCCCGGGGAGCCCTTGCTGCTGGACACAGAAGCCCAAAGTGGCAACAGCRCACATCTGAGTCGCAGAGGAGAAACCAAAGCAAATGAAGATGCTTTCATTCACAGGCCAAAGAGGCGGATCTGGAGTTGRCCACGATTTGACGGGAGGACTTTGTGACTGTCTGGAAGAGAACTGAATGTCACTTGATCTTAGCTCAGTTTAGTGGGGTTTTATTTTGGTGAGGAACACACTGGCGTGGCCTCTGTCCTGGGCTCTCTCGCCTCCGTCTTTCTGGACCGTAAACACATCTCGTGGTCCTGGGCCTGCCGGGCTGCTCGCGGGCTGTGTGCCGGTGCCCAGGAGGACAGGTATTTGGAACCCAGCAGGTGCCAGGCCTAAAACACGCTGCACACCTGTTCTGACGGCTGTGTTTAGGTCCCCACTTCTCCCTGCAGTCCCACCAGGAATGCTCAGACGGGTTCGCCTTTCCTCACGTCCCCAGGAGAACTCCGGGCCTTAGCTGACAGTGCTCCAGGATGAGCAGATAACAGGYGGAGTCACGGAGTGTACAACGCTGAGAACAATGCTAGCAGAAGCTTGGGGCTTGGGATGCGCCACGCTCTGCTCTTAGTGCTCATACTGAACCCTCACAGCAACTTTAGGGGGTTTTGTTTTTATCACTCCYGTTTTATAGATTCGGATGCGAAGGCTCAGAGAGGTTTAGTAACTTCCTGAGGATCACATAGCACGGATGCTGAACCTGTCTGGTTCRGGAGAAGTGTGTCACTTCTAAGCTGCTTGAAAGGCACTGGGCCAATAAAGTCAGAGAGATTTTGGAGAGAAAAAGACCCTGGAAGGCCAYCTAGTAATGGAGGAACTCTCTGTGGTTACTTTTTTCTTTGCTGTTCTAACTTTCTGACAACAGAATCCTATTCTCGTGTTCACAAGGCCATCCTGAGATGCARGGGTTGGCGGCGTAAGTATGACTTGAGGTAGCAAGGAGTGACAGGGCCTTAGACTCCAATGGCTCAGGCCACTTCGTTGCAGAAGCCCCGGGCAGTACCCAGGTTTKCGGGGCAGGGCTGCTTAAGCATTCTGTGGAGCCATTTCTGAGCCAGGAAAGGGTGGAGGTTGCTCCTCAGAGGCTCCCTGTTGCCCCCCCCCCCTCCCTGTTGAAGCAGCAGATGAGGAAGGATCACGGAGGAAGGATCCCTGGAAGGTCCGGCAGGCCCTGTTCTCTGCCTGGCGTTCAGCTGTTCCAACCTGCCCGTGGGCGACGGAGGGGAAACTGTCCCTGGGCCCCGGGAGGCTGGCTGGCTGCCCAGGCTCTGCTCACGGCGAGACCTGGAGGTAGACGCGGTCTGGGAGGCTGGCCTGGGACCCCGCCAGCCTCTGGTTTTTAAACAGATTCGGGAAGACCCCGCGCCTCCTCCTGACTGGAGCTGCCCRGGCTAAGTGGCAGCCTCTGCCAGTGGACGCCGTGTTTAGCCATCCCTGGCAAGGCAGGGCTGGAGGGGCCCWGGAGGCCTCTGAGTCCTGACTTCATGCCTGACCGGAAGGGGAGGGTCCAGCCTCATCCTGGGAGGAATCAGAAGGGGTGGGGGTATGTAAAAAATTCTCTTTTAACAACCATTTTAAAAATATCTACTCAAAAAGTGGCCTGGAACCAGGGTGTGCACCTATGTGTCTGAGTTCAGTGGAGGCTGGGGTAGGCCKAGGTGACAGGGTCTCAGAGCAGAACCCCTTCTGTCCCCTGCAGGTCCTGGGGGGACAGCACCAGCCCATCTGTGGAGGCCCCCGCAGCGGGCCCCTTGCCCTCCGTGGCTCCTTCCTGCCATTGGAGGATGTCTCCTTTGAGTGCCACTCTCTGCAATATCTTCCCTCCTTTCAAGACCTGTCCACTTGCTCCTTCCTGTCTGGTTTGCGGGCATACTTGAGGATGCTCTTGGTGGCCTAGCTTCTCATCATCTCAGAGTCAGCCCCTCTGTGTGGATCAGAAAGTCTCAGGCGCCTTCTCTCCGCCCTCAGGGCCCTCATCCCCGTGGTGTGGATACTCACAGTACTCTTGACCAGGAGTAGAGGAGGGAACGGGTACATATAGTAGGTGCACAGTAAACAGGAGCTGATTCTATTGTAACAATCCTTGCATGGTCCGCCCATCCCATGAGGATATTAATAACATCGAGGTAAACTGCCTCAAAGACAAGGTCAGGTTCACCTGTACCGTCCTGCCTAACCCTTCCAGGCAGGAGTTTGGAAACATTGTGATTCCTGTTTATAGAAGAGGGAAGGGAGTCCAGAAACAGAGGGAACCCACCAAAAATGATGGCCATCAACGTCTGGGCTTGCATCGGAACCGCTCAGCCTGGCCCGGGAGCCCMGTTCCCAGCCCTTCCTGCATTCCCATAGAGCGGTTCTCCTGTCCCCCTTGGTATCGAGGCACTGGGTCCTGAGAGCCCGATCCGAGTGCTGTCCAGGGACACTGAGGGAGCTTGGGTRCATCGATCCTGTGGACATGTTGGACCTGGACCATTCACCTGTGCACCAGAAGTGCCCCAGTGAGGTGGTGGTCAGGCATGGGTGCTGGTGGACAGGGAACAGGCCTGGGGACCGTGGTGTTGTCAGTAGGCATTGGAGGGAGGACAGGAAGTGCTGACAGAAGTCGATTTGGGACTATGGTGTAGCCACAGGGAAGCACCCCCAGGCTGTGCTGGGGTGAGGGTGGCCTGGGGACTTGCAGGCAGACAGTGGGGAGCCCGGGGTCCTTAGCATGGACGATGGCTGCGTCTCCTTCCTCTACCCTCGCTCCCCCGGGTCTCAGCCTCCTCCTGATACACACTAGTGTCTGTTCCCATTGGCTTGAGGGCAGAGAGCCATTCCCGGCCCCGCCCGGGCTCACTGGCCCACTGAGGTGCCCCCTGTGTGGTCAGCTGTGTAACCTCGGCCCTGTCTCTCTCCTGTCTCTGCAGTGATCCGGGCCAAGGTGGTGGGGAAGAAGCTGGTGAAGGAGGGGCCCTTCGGCACCCTGGTCTACACCATTAAGCAGATGAAGGTGAGTGGCTTTATCCCCCGGCTCCAGGAGGGGTCCTGGGGGTGGCCCGCSGGGTCCTGGCCAAGGGAGGCTGAGTCGGGGGGATGTCTGAGCCCCAGGCCTTCTGCCTGCAGGAGAGGCCGCAGCTCAGGCAGCAGGAGGTGACAGGCAGCAGGAGGAGGGGTGCAGGTGAAGCCACCCAGAGGTGCTCATTAGGCGGCCCAGCTCCGGAGCCAGAGGGCGGAGGGCCTTGTTCCTGGGCAGCCGTGAGACCTTGGCCAAGCCATGGGTCCTCCCTGGGCCTCTGTCTTCCACTGAGGCCACCAGGTGGCMTGAGATCTTCACACTGACACCTCACCCATCATCCCCGGGGGGGGGGTGCTGCCCCCTCCCAGCTCTGGCCGACCCCTTCATCCCAGYGAGTTGGCAGCGTCCACTCAACATGTCATGTCGTGAGACCTGTCGCTGAGCATGGGGACATCGTGAGGCACTGGGGAAGAGACCTCGGACGCGACATCCAGAGAGGCTGCCCCCTGGGCTCAGCCATTCTTCTGACKCGCTCACTGGCCTGGGCCTCGGCCTCTTTCCTGGGCCTCCGTTTTGCCATCTGTTCCCCTTCATGGCTTGGGCTTGACCTCTAAGGGGCCTTCCGGCTCGGGCATTCTAATTCCAGGGGCTTGGCAGTGCCACTCCAGCAGGAGCTGGTGGTGCACGCGGGGAAGGTGCCTCGTGTTTCCTGGGCACAGAGGCCTGGCGCTTCACCCTGAGCYGAGGCCACTCCTGCAGCCTCTGCCTCAGTGAGGGTCTCCTGTGCGCAGAAGCTGGAACCAGGGCGCCCACGGGGACACGGAGTTTCTGTCTCGGGACTGTGGTCAGGTTGGGAGGAGGGAGTCCTGCGTGTGACCGAGCGGTAGTTTGAGATTCGATGTGCTCAGGTCCAAGGGAGCTGCTGGCCCTCTGACTCACGGAGCGTATTATGTCCCCAGTCATTAGGGTCGGACCCGGCATGCAGTGGGGACTTGGTGGATGTGTCTCCACCTGATCGTGGGATGAAGYGGGGACCCTACAGATCTGAAAACTGCCGGAGGAGATGAGCTTCAGCCCTCATGGGGACTCGAGCTGGGGGAGGGACAGCGTCCACAGTGGTAGCCGGCCACCCTGGAGGCCAGCCTCAGGCCTCGTTCTTCCTTTCCTGGGGCCTGAGGCTAGCTGCTCTGATTTTGTGGAACCTGTTGCTTTGGATTCRATTTTGGAAACATCTGCAGCCTTCGGGTTATGTAATTCCAGAGTCAGGCCTGGCCAGTTGCCCTCGCCTGCCTGAGCTCAGTCATGAGACCGCTTGTGTCTTCAGAGGCCCCGGGGAACGGAGCGTGGGCGGAGGTGGGGAACCAGCAAGGGCAAAGCCCACTTGTCAGCCCCTGGCGTCCGGCACAGGAACCCAACGCCTATTAGACCAAGTAGAGTTTGGCAGCACAGTGCCAGCCTGCCCTGCCCTGCCCTGCCGTGGTCCTCATCACTGGACCCTGAGGCTGGCAAGGAGCCAGGAGGGAGCTAGCTAGAGGCRGCAGTTCCTAGGCTGGCTGGCCTTCCCTCCTACCCTCCAGGCCTGGAGGCCAGGGTGACCAGAGCCCTGTCTGTGTGCAGAATGTCCCATCCCCCTGACTGGTGTCACATCAGCCAGTGGCACTTGTTAAGAAGCCAGATGCCATGTGCTCACCCGCCAGCCTCTGAGCACAGCCTCCACTCCAGGCTGGGGCTCAGGCTCCTGTTCATCCTCCTCCCCTAGTTCCGGGTACCCGGGGTGAGGAACGCCACGTGAAGCTCTTTCCTTGACTTCTGACTGAGGCTCGAGGGGGAAATGAAGTTCCCAGAACCGTGCCTTGAATTCAAGACAGATCTGGTTCCTAAGCCAAGGCATCGGGGCCCCTCCTGRTCCTGTGTGTCCTCATAGGAATTCCCAGGTCTCCCTGCTCCCTAACTTCACTCACTAGTCACACTGACTCTCCTACTGGCCCAGCATTATGACCCTCAGCTCAGGTCAGTGCCTTTCAGGCCACCTGCCTGCAAGTCAGGGAGGACGCGGTCCACCCACCCAACCACCCACCGTATCCTTCCTACCACCTCCTCTGTGCTTAGCCCTGGGACGTGAGCTGGGGTCGCAGTGATAAGACTTGTTAMAATTTACACAGGACAGCACACAGGCGACATGTAGTGGGCATTTGGACTGTACCAGCCATTCTGTTAACCTTTGCAGAGGTCAGTCCTCATGTCTGGGTGCAAAACAGCCACACTTCACCCTCTATTTTACAGGTGAGGCCCCTGAGAGTTGGAAGGTTATGAGACAGTCAGGATCGTGCATCTAGAAAGTAGTAAAGCAGACCTAGGCCGCAGGGTCTTTGCCAGCAAGGAGGTAACAGAGCATCGGGGCTGCAGGCCGACTGGTTATTCCCACCCGCTTTGGGTCTCCCCCTCACCCCCCACTTGTGCTAGGTCCCCCAGGGAACCAAAAGAGGTCGGCCTGGATTCCTCCGTGCAAGATCCCGCCCGTAGCTCTTGACATGCAGCTGCAGAGGGTGGATCCGAAAAATCTGGGGAGGAGGGAGGCAGGAGAGCCTGGAGGCGGGTCCGCATGGGTTTTGGCAGGGTTCCTTGGAGGCTTTGTTCTGGCAGATTAGAGAGTCAGATGGGAGGGCTCCCCTCAAGCAGGACTGAAAGAGCTTAGAGAACATGAGACCCCAGCCCTGCCTGGCCTCTGATGCCAGGTGGGCAGACCCCCTGCCCCCAGCTGCTAACTCCAYAGCCTCTGACCCTTCCCTCGGGCGAACGTCGAGTGTGCGGAGACCCGTGGGTGTGTGGTGAGGGGTGCAGGTGCCAGAACGTGGAGGCAGCTCATTGCAAACCCAGACTTGGGGGTTAGCTGGGGCTCAGGCACTGGGCCTAGTGCAAAGGTGGAAGTTTCCAGAACTGGCCTCTGTAATCGGTGGGGACCTTATCTCCCATCAGGACCATGAGAAAGCTGTCCACTTTGCCAAGAGCTGTTGTTTGTGCAGGCTCTCGGGCAGGCTGCAGGGGACAACACGTGGGGGACATTATGTCCCAGCTGGTCCCAAGAGAATCCTGGAGGACACGTGCTGGTCATGAGCTTTGCACGTCCTGACTAGGAGCAGGACAGATCTGCTGGGCGGTCAGAATGCTCGGCCCCTTCCCTCAGCAGTTTGTCTAATCAAATAAGCAAAAGCAGGGTCTGGCTTTTGAAGCTGCAGCTGGAAGGCTCTCTGGCCCCCAGCCCACAGGGAACCGCCCTCCCGCCCCCCCACTCTCCTGGGCCGAGACTCTAYGGGGTAGGCGGAGTCCAGCTGGATGAGAATGGCCTGCTTCTGAGCAGGGCTCYGGGCCAGCCTGAATACCACCACTGCTCCTGAGATGACACTGGGCAGAGCAGGGCCCAAACCCTCCACTCCTCTCCTCCCCGATTTTGGAATAACTGGTTTGAAGCTAACTTTTACTCAGTGCTGTCTGCMGAGTGCTATTCGAAGTCATCTAATTCTCAAAGCCACAGGTGAACCAACTGAGGCCCAAGGAGAATAAGGAACTTTCCAAGTGGCTAGAATATGTCAGGGACAGGATTCAAACTGTCAGTCCACGGAACCTGCCTTYATCACTAATCCCCCGAGACACTGGTTGGATCAGGTGACCTTTGGTGTCCTCTCTTATCCTGATTTTCTATGGTTCTCTGGTTTCAGGATATTAGAAACCTGGTCTATGCCTCTCAAATTTGCCAAACCAATTCTCAGTCTTCTGTGACTGCAGACACAACATGCCTATCCATCATCAGACGATTATTATAAAGGGAAGACGAGTCCATGGGTAGAATCTACCTTTGCCATATTGTTATTTTCAGAATTAACCCCCAGCACGCCGTCCCGGGTTTGTCAGGCCCGGTTTTCTGTTCTGTACCCACAGCTGTCCTGAGGGTGAGCTCGAGGAGCCTGGTTAAAATACGGGCTCCTTCAGACGGGAGGAGCGGGGAGGCCCAGCTGATTGCCATGAGCGTTTCAGATCTCTGGACCCTCCACAGGGTCTTGACTCTGCCCATAAAGCAGAGAGAGAAAGGAGAGACAGACACAGAACGAGCCGAGGTTCTCATYGTCTGGGCCCCAAGGACCTAAGCAAGCGCTCAGCGGGAACCTTTACCCAAACCGCGAGGAACACTGGCACCAACGTGAGAACTTGCTGGGCACAGAAGTAAGGGCGGGGTGTTCTTTGCGGGCCACACTGGATGGCTGCAGCAGCAGGTCCTCTTTCAGCCAGCCAGGGGCCATCCTGACCTGATGCCCTGCTGACCCCCATGGCCTAATGAAACACCAAGTGTGGCCAGCACTTTGGCCGTGTTGCCTTGTGTACCTGTGAGGCCTTCAGGGAGAAGACGGGTTCAGAAAGGAGACATCTGAATTCATTATGGTTCTACTTAAAAAATTATTAAACGCTTAGTTAGAAATCTTTGCATTTTGTGTTTATGAGGCTCCTCTGGAGTCACGATCCTAACGCCTTCTCCAGATGCTCAGAAGAATCAACAACATGGGGTACTCTAGGCCTGAGTTCAGCTCTCACCAGCYGCACAGAATCTCTGTCTCCCAAACCCCTGAGGTCCAGTGGTGGACTTTAGGAGGGTAAAGGGCCTTGTGACCTTCTACCCTTGCCCACCAGCCACTGGTTAAGAGAAGACGAGGCGGCAATCAGCCCATCAGACCGAGTGCAGGCATGAAGGAGGCACCAAACGGGGGGGGGGGTGGTCTGGCTGTGTATTAATGATCATAAGTAGATTAATAACGCATGCCAGGGACTAAAGTAGGGACATTGTCCTATTGTAAAGCCTTGGGACAGGCCCAGAGACCACAAGTGGCCCAGGGCCTGAGCACTCTGAGACCCAGCCTGGGTGCTCAGCCCGCCCTCCGCGGCTCACACGGAGGATACGGTTGCCTGGGCACATGGGGGCCTGCTGACTCTTGTGGACCAACCCGGAATCGCAGAGTGGATTAAGCCTCTGTGACAGTCCCCGGGTCTCTGAGCGCACACTGACAAAGGAGCCTYGAGAGCCATAAATGGAAATGGCATTTGCTGTAGCAGAAGCCCCGGGTCCTGAGCTTCCCAGGCTGCGGAGAAGAGGCACAGGATGAGGGTGAAGAGCGCGGACTCCGCGGTCCACGGCGTAGACTCTGTGGCCTTGGAAAGGCCAYGGGACCCTCCCGTGGCTCCTGCTCCTCCTCGGTACCAGGGCAGGATGAGCCGCCTCGCGGGGCCTTATGGGCATTAGATGAGTTGGGACCACAGCCGACGGACGGCTCTCCTGTCCCTCCCTTCTCATGACAACCCAACGCATCTCCAGTCAKTGCCAGGTTCCCTCCCGTTTCCAAGGAGGGAGCGGTGCCTCCATTCAAGAGCCACTGTATCAGATCAGGTCGTAGATGAAAATGGTGGGTGTCAGCTCGCATACGGTCCCAGTTAATCATCATTAAAGGCTCAGATAGAACCTTGGCATTCTGTATACATGTTTATGCGGCTCCTCTGGAGTCACCATCCTCACGCCTCCTCCAGGCGCTCAGAAGAACACAAACATGGGCCCCCAGGCCTGGGTTCAGGTCTCCCCACCACAGAGGATCTCTGAGTGTCGTCTGCCRTGTGGGATTCATGTTCTCAGGACACCCTTGCACCTTGGTACCTGAAAAGTGTCAGGGATGTCCTGCGGATGCTGGTTGGCTGCCTGTCCCCTCAGAGCTCAGGGCTGTGGCAGGAAAGCCACAGGGACCTGTTTCGGAGCATTCTCTTTGGATTTATGAAAAGGTGTTGGGAATTGAGAAATCTGTGGCTGGAGGGATGTTGTGGGGCAGCTGGAATGGGGAATGGGACTGGCAGGACCCGGTCCCCGGGGAAGGCACAAACTAACTCAGAAAAAAGGGCAGGTGGCCYCCTCTGGGTGAAGGGGGTCCTGGGTGGGTAGGTCTGTGACTTAATGTCTGCAGAGGGGGACCCTGGTCCTTTATCTCAGATGACGGCGTGCTGCCTGGGCCCTGGGTCTCTTCTCACGAMGTCCTCTCTGCCCACAGATGTACCGAGGCTTCACCAAGATGCCCCACGTTCAGTACATCCACACGGAGGCCTCCGAGAGTCTCTGTGGCCTGAAGCTGGAGGTCAACAAGTACCAGTACCTGCTGACAGGTAATGGCCACAGGARCACCGAGGCCGGGGGGTCTTGGAGCTGACGGGTCTGGGCAGCTGACTCGGGGTCCTGGGGATATTAGCCTGGGTCCCGTCATCCTGAGGAGTCCCACTGTTGAGTCCAGAACTGTTCCTCAGCTGGACAGGGCCTTTGGTGGCTCCGACACCGAGGCCGGGTTTCAGGTCATCCTGGGCCCTCTCCCCCTCTAGTTTCTCAGCTTTACCGTGAGTGCAGATTCTGTCCCACAGCACCTTGCAGACAGCCTGTCAGGCCTTTGTCTGAAGGTCGTGACCTTGGGGCAGTCGGTGCAGTAACAGGAAAGAGCAAACCCACAGAAGGGGAGCGAGGAGTCGGGCTCTAGGCCTTGTTCTGAGGCCCAACGGTCCTGGTACCTTGGACCACGGGCTCAGCCTCTTGGGTCTCATCTCCGGTGGAACAGGGGGCCACGGCCGACTCTAAAGGGGTTGGGGGAGGTGAAATAGAATCCTGGGTCTGATGACTGCCCAGCACGGTGGTGCCTGGCCATAGGGCCCTCCCTCTGGCGGGCTCTGGACCCAGCAGCTCTCCTCTGGCCCCGCCTCCTCCCCAGGCCGCGTCTACGACGGCAAGATGTACACCGGGCTGTGCAACTTCGTGGAGCGGTGGGACCAGCTCACCCTGTCCCAGCGCAAGGGGCTGAACTATCGCTACCACCTGGGGTGCAACTGCAAGGTAAGCCTGGGGCAACTGTACCAGGAATTAAGGGGATTAACATAGCAGCTCAATATCTGGTATACAGTCGGCATCAATAAACGTGAGTTGGTATTACTTAGGTTACCGCTAAAGGACTGGTGTGTTCGGCCAGCCCCTGCAGTGGTCCTCAGGTCTGAATGTAGACTTGGAGCGGCACCAGGCCCGGATCCCCTCACTGTTGGTTGTATCTTATTGCAGATCAAGTCCTGCTACTACCTGCCTTGCTTTGTGACCTCCAAGAACGAGTGTCTCTGGACCGACATGCTCTCCAATTTCGGCTACCCCGGCTACCAGTCCAAACACTATGCCTGCATCCGGCAGAAAGGTGGCTACTGCAGCTGGTACCGAGGGTGGGCCCCCCCGGACAAAAGCATCATCAATGCCACCGACCCCTGAGCCCAGACCCAACCCCGCCTCACCTCCCTCCCTTCCCGCTGAGCTTCCCTCGGACACTAACTCTTCCCAGATGATGACAATGAAATTAGTGCCTGTTTTCTCGCAAATTTAGCACTTGGAACACTTAAAGAAACGCCTGTGCTGTCTATGGAGTTGATTTGGACTATCCTCCCGGCCCCCTGCACCCTTCTCCTTGGTTTTGACATCACCCACTTCCACCTGAGAGTTTCTGGCCCATGCCTATCTTCGTGATAGATAGATAACGTCTATTTTTTTAGGAAAACAGAAATCGAAAAACCTACCACATCTGGGCATTGTAATCCCTACTSCGCTCTCTTCTCTCCCACTCGACCATCTCCACACCCTCCTCCCCGCGTCCTCCTCCACCCACTACAGAAAGGACACAGACAAAAGAAGCTGCCGGAAGGCCAGCTCTTTCTAGATCAGTCTAGGGCAGCGCCAGGCAGACTCGGGGTGGGCGGAAGATCTTCCACCCAGAGGACATGCTACTGCAGGTCCCAGCCAGACTGCCCGTCTGAGTCTGCGAGCCAGAGTGYGGGAGGGAGGAGCCGACTTCAGGGGAGGGCCTGAGACACGCGGCACACGTGGTGCTCCCAGCCCTGTGATGCTTGGGTTGACCAGATGTTTCTGAGCCTGGAGCAAGCAGCCAGGCCAGAAGACAGAGCTTTCTCGGTTGGTGACGACTTAAACATCTGCCTGCAGTCAGGAGGCACCTCTCTTCCTTGTGCACAAGCTCAGGTGAAAGACTGAGATGAATGTCCTTCTTCTCCCCCACCTCCCTTAAGATGTCCCGGGAAACTCTTTGGGAGGTCTGGCCCCGGAGCTTGCCTTGATGTAAATCAGAGAAAGACACACACTTTACGCTATCCACAGATATAGCCATGTAGATTTGGGTAGAGATTACTGTTTCCAAAGTAGAGTTTAGCTCACCTGGGGGGGATGTGTTTGTATCCACATTTGCATATGCCCACATGGGGACATAAGCTAATTTTTTTACAGGACACAGAATTCTATTCAATGCTGTTAAATACGCCAATAGTTTAATCTCTATTTTGTTGTTGTTGCTTGTTTGAAGAAAATCATGACATTCCAAGTTGACTTTTTTTTTTCATTTTAATTAAAATTTGAAATCCTGAACATCTTCAACACCCTCTCTTCCCTATAACTGGGGTCCTCTGACTTCTGTCCTGCTCCTTTTCTTCTGCTCTGTGTTTGGGGACTGTCACATAAACTGCCTCGCTAGCTTGGCAGGTGGCAGTGGAGTTTCTGTGGGTCAGGGGCCGTGGGACAGCTGCAGAGCATCTGGCCTCCACCAGGTGCCCACCTCTCTTGGGCTTCTTCCCGGCTCCCTGGTGGGTGGATGCCACCTGCTCAGGTCCTCACCTCATGGAGATAATGTGGGTGGTCCCCGGAGAAGCCCCACTCTGGAATCAGCTGTAGGGTTTTTGTTGTGGGKKTTTTTTTTTTTTGGAAATAAAACTATAATATAAATTCTCCTATTAAATAAAATTATTTTAAGTTTTGAGTGTCAAAGGCGAGATGCTGAGAGTAGGTGATGATGGATATTGTTCAGAGCTGGGGATGGTAGGATGGTGATCGCTCTCTGTCCCTTTCTTCAGATTATGGGTATTTATCATCTATTAGTATTTGTATCTTCAGTTTATTCCWCTCTAGGAAGCAGAGCTGCCCGTTGTAACAAGAGGAAAAACAAAGAACAGACGTAGACAAGGAGCTGTAGTGTTTCTCCCCCACACAAATACCCAGGCAGGATGGGAGAGGCGGAACTCGGGGTGGGTTTCCGTGAGATCATTTCCCCTTGTGGTCATGCCATTTGGCCAGGGGGATGCGGGAGGCTTGGCCTTCTCTGTGGGGCAGTGCGAGCAGGAGGAGCTGAGGCCAGCACATGCGTGAGTGGTCTCCAAGGGGTGAGCCACAGACTTGGTTTGGGATCATCTCTTTCAAGCTCAGAGTCTCGCGAGGTGGAGCTCCTGACCCAGCGCACACGAGTGTGCCCCCACAAGTGGACATCAGCCTCTCCTTCTGGGAGGTGTCTGGCCATTCCCGGTCCCTGTGGTGGTCACCCCTACTGACATAAGAAGGGACTTGGGGTGAGGCCTGATCATGAAGCACCTGAAGTGTCCCTGCAGAGTGAATCAGTTGGCCAAACTGTGGCCCCGTCGGCTGGGCCCTGGTGGGGAGGTCCTGGGCAAGGAAGGGTGTTTTGCAAAGTGATATTGTCAGAGGGCGGTTTTTGAGCTTTCTATAAGCTATAGCTTTGTTTATTTCACCTGTTCACTCACTGTATAATTTAAAGTCATTTATGTAGCCGAGACACTTCTGTATTTCCATCATATCGTGACTGTTTGATTTTGCTAAATCTTGTGTCATGTCTGTAATATGTGTACCTTGTGTCTAAGAGAAAAAAAAATATGGAACCCACATGCCGCCATTTTCCTGAATCAAATTCTACAGTGGAATCGAGGATAAAATACTTCTACTTGGGCAGGCAGCGAGATTGGCAAATTGGGGAAACTAGAAGGAGCTAGGATTGGGGACACTCCTCCCGTCCCCTCCCCAGGGATTCCCTGGATACGAAGGAGAAGGAAACAGACCAAGTGCATTTCCTGTCCTTGTTTTTTATCAGCTGGCCCTGGTCATCCCCTGCCAACTCCCATTCCTGTTCCCCTCAAGCCCTTTCTCCCACCCCGTGGGGAACCCATGATTTCTCCTAAAATTCCAGAGCCTCGGGAACAGTGATTCCGACTTCTCTTTGCCTCCTCGGGGCACCCTTCTGCCTCCTCATCCAGGAAGCCCAGGCTGTTGCTTCCAGGCCAGAGCTCTGCTGTGACCGGGGTAGATAAGGCTAGACCTCACTTCTTTACCATCCCCCACCCCAACCTGCCTCAGGGCAGCTGAGCTACAGCCCTAGAGCTCTGTGACCTGGGGATGGCTCCATCCGGGAGAACTGTGGCCCCAGGAGTGTGTGCCCTTCCCTGCCTCAACCCTTCCCCTTCATCTTTTGCATGATGTTGGACAATGTGGATGGCCCCAAGGTGGCACCCAAGGATTTGGCTCTTACCCACCTGAAGTCAAATGATCTGAGTATTTCCATCAGAGAGAAACATGAAAAAAAAAAAAAAAAGATCTCATGTCACAAGCACCACAAAGTAGGTCGGGGAGGCGGATACCAACAACTTCCAAATCGGGCTCTTGGGGGGCAAGAAGTGAGGAGAACTGCGTCCTGCTCCGGGGCGGGGGCTTCTGAGAGTCTCCCGATCCTCCACCTTCCCCTTTAGCCGGTCTGCTGTGCTGAACCCCAGAAGTGATGGAGAGAAACCACCCAGAGGGAAAAAATAAAAAAAGAGAAAACCCTGTCCGGAAGGAATGTATTTGTTGCTAAATTTTGTAGCATTGTTTACAGTTTTCCTCCATGTTATTTATGAATTTTATATTCCGTGAATGTATATTGTCTTGTAATGTTGCCTAGTGTTCACTTTTTACTGTGTGTCCTTTATTCTAAACAGTAAAGTGGTTTTATTTCTATCACACACTCCCAGTCTCTTGCCTTTTTGTTTACTGTCCGCCTTGGTGGGGGGCGGGGGTGGTACGGACATCRGGGGGCCCTGGAAGTCTGTCCTGCCTGCCCCCGTCCAGGCCCATGCACCCTCCTACCCTCCACACCTGGGCACCCCTGCCCCAGGCCTTTCCCTTGGTGGGAGGAATTTCGGGGAGGCGTCCCAGGTTCCCTTGTGGTGGCTGACCTGGCTTGGTCTTTGTCCTCTCCTGCTATTGCTAGAGTTGTTCCTACTTCTGAAGTGTCTGGGTCTCATCTCATCACCTAGGGGTGCTGCAGGTAGCCAGCCCGGGGCCTGGCTCAGCCTTCCGTGTTTTCCTCCTAAGCATCTCCTCCCATGGAGAAGCAGGAGCGGGGAGGCCCCATGAGAAGTGGAGATCYCCTCCAGAGCTGATAGCGGGACAGTCACCCTCAGGAGCTCACGGGCCCAGCCATCACCCCTCCCTTGACAGAGTTCCAGGTTATAGCTTCTTCTCCTAAATCAGAAGGTACTCGACCWGCTCTGTACATGCCTGGCCCAGCATTCATACACACCATCATCTGGGATCTCAACAACCCATGAGATTTCCCCACTACCCAGGTTTCTTAGTGGAGGGAAACCAAGGCTCACAGAGATCCAAATGCAGTCCAAGGTCCAGCACAAACCCACCAAGCTGGAATCCAGACTCAGGCTGGCCCGAGAAGAAGCCCTGAGTTTTCCCCCTCGTGTTCACACTTGAGTGGAACCCATGGGCTTGCACGTGTGTCTTAGGCACACGCCCRATTCTGGATCAGGCTCAGGGGAAGAAAATCACTGGGAAACTTCCACTTGGTGGCCAGCTCCCACTGTCGGTGTCTCCAACAGGGATGCCCAACTTGGTCCTCCACAACCAGGCCACAGTCCCCAGGGTACAAGGTACACCGTTCATCATCTTGTTCTTCAGAACTCGAGATTCTCAAAAGGCCAAGTCCAGGGCTATGGCCCGAGTTCCCTTGACTAGTTTAAGAAGACCACCGACCGGGCAAGAGGTACATCTCGGGCTGCTTCCAGATGCCCAGAACTCTTCACCTACCTCCGAGCTACCCGGCTCAAAAACACATCAACCTCTCCCGTCAGGTACCTTCCGAGTGGGAGGCAAGACCAGGCACTCTGACCCGARTCCCCAACTGCTTCCCAGAGACAACCTCAGGCATATTCAAAAGTTGGAAAACACAGAACACACAAGAAATCACCTTTCAGTAATCAGTGCAGACGAAATATCACCGCTTTTATTAAAATAAGAGTTGACACCAGGTCCTGGCAAGTGCCCTAGTGTAAGCTGCAAGCTGCACAGACACACCTCTTCCCCTCTCCTCAGCCTCCGGCTCCAACATTCCAGCTCCCCGACTTGTTGACCATTTCCAAAGCCACAAGGACTGCTGTTCACCCCGTCACGTGCCCACAGCCTGCATTTCCCTGGGATAAGTGACTCTTTGGCGAGGAAAGCAGGACGTTCCCCCAGGACCCTGAGGTTCTTCCTCCGTCCAGGCAATCAGAGAGCCATCCCCAAGCCCAAGTTCCCTGTCCAAAGAGACCGAGGACATAGACACCCGTATCTGCTCCATATCACCAAAAGAAACAGAGTGGAGACGGTGACTCACCATTGGCTTATGGTTGGGGAAGAACGTTTGCTCCACAAGAGGGAACTTCTCAGGGCCCAGGGAGTGGAAGATCTTAATGAGCTGCGAGAACTATGGATGGAAAGGGAGAGAACGTGAGTCGCTGTTTTCACCTGCTAAGGGAAACCACCCACTTGGTCCTGGGTAGCTTTCCCCACCCCTAGACAAAAGCCAGCTTCCTTGGCTGGACAGTYGTCCTCTCCAGCACCTGGCTGCGTCCACCCCTCCATTCCTGCCCAAGGACCAGGAAGCAGGTGGATCTCTGGGTTCAGCACAACCACATTTAATGAGCACTTACTACATTCTCAGCATTCCACCCAGGGTCCTCGTCCACAGCACAACCTGCTGGCTGGCCTTCATGTCACCCCAGCTCGCAATGCCTTTCTTTCTAGAGAGGCAACACCCACCGTGGGGTAGTTTTTGGTGTAGACACTGGATCTAGCATTCCTGAGTACAAGACCTTGGTCTGTCACTTACTAGCTGTGTGAGTTGGGAGGTCCCTGAAGGTTCCTGAGGTTTGATTTTCTCAGTGGTAAGGAGGGGTCCTACCTCATTGCAGTGTTAAGGATACATGACAGAGACTGGCCCCTGGGAGCCTGGAACGTTAGGCGCTATTATTGACACACATTTTTCTCTGCTTTTACAACCTACTTGTTTCCAACGGCTCAGGCCACGTCCCCTCCCACTGTGCTCTCCTGCCTGTGCATTTCCACMCTGGAGGGAAGATTAGCACCTCTCAGGCTTCGTGCCAGAACTGGGCTCCACTASGGGGACCACCAACTGCACCTGGGGGACAGACTGCAGGTGCACATTTGGGACGCTGATGTCTTGCTGGAGTAGAGCATGAGGGTTCTGGGATCTGGAAACCGGTTGGAGTGGGGAGGGAGGGTGCCTGGAGMAGATGACTCAGGGCATCTAAGATTCAGGTGCCACTATTCGGCTACCAGTTACTACTAGGTACCCAGGCTTGGGTTTCCTCATCTGTAAATGGAGATATCAACAGCAGGGAGGGGAGTCAGCGTGGGGCCGGGGAGGGCCTGGAGCAGTAAGAGGGCTCAGGTTCTCTGGGTGTGCAGTTAGGGCAGTGTGTGCTAAGAGCCTGGGAGGTTGCCAGGGMAGTGGCCTCAGGTGCAGGGGACAGCAATTGAAGAGTCTTGAGGGTGGCCACCATAGGCTACCAGGACCCCTAGGCCAGACCCAGGAGCTTAGAATCCACCCAAAAGGTGAAGAAGAGCTTCAGGGAAGAACAATTTAGACTCTCAAAAGAAAGCAAGCCGGGTGCAGTGGCGCACRCCTATCATCCCAGCGGCTCTGGAGGCKGAGGCAGGAGGATCGTGAGTTCAAAGCCAGCCTCAGCAAAAACGAGGCACTCAGCAACTCAGTGAGACCCTGACTCTAAATAAAATACAAAATAGGGCTGGGGGTGGGTCTCGAGTGCCCCTGAGTTCAATCCCTGGTATCCTCCCCCAAAGAAAAGGAGCTGTGATTTGCTGCTGGGTGCAGGTGCTCAGGGGCTGGGGGCAAGCCTTATGCAGACTGGCTGGGGGCTCCCCAGTACCAAGCCTAGACAGAGAGAATGGGGCAGCACAGGAACTTCCTGCTTCAGCCCAGGATTGCTGTGCAGACTTTAGGTGGAGCCTGCAGGTGCAGTTCAAACTAGAGCCAACTGAGAGGGCTCCGGAGGCCTCAGCAATGATGTAGGGGGGATGATGTTGGGTAGGGGGTCCCTCGCTTCCCAGGTCAGGGAACTGGAGTCCAGGGAGGGAGAGAAATTCTACGCAGGTTTTGGAGAGGCTACCAGTTACTACTCGCTCCGCAGGCTTGGGTTTCCTCGTCTGTACAAAGGAGATGTTAACAGCAGCTATTCGTCAAGGTAGCTCTGAAGATAAAACAGGATCTTCACGCCAGGGGCTCAGAACCGAGCACAGTGAGTGCCAGAGAATCCAAGTTGTGACCATCATGACCACTAGGTGCAAAAACAAAGCAGATGAGCTAGTATTGAGGAACCTTTCCTAATAGTGGCACTTGCACCTTAGATGCCAAGAGGCTCAGTTAGGGCAGAAGGGGAAGGAGCCCAGGGATGGCTTTGGTGGTAAAGACTGTATATGATTAGTGCATGTCGTCCTTCCATAAATATTGAGTGACAGTCAGCATCGACTTGTCCCCGGTACAATAGACAATGATAACTGTCACCATTTACTGAGAGTGTGTTGCGCCAGCCACCATTGTAAACACTTTACGCTTTACGTGTATGAACTCGAAACCAGACCAGAAAGCCTTTCATATTATCACCATTTTCCAAARAAGGAAGAAGCTGAGTTTGGACAAGTGAAGCAGCCCTGCTTGAGGGCCCGCAGCTCCAAAGTGGAGAGACCTGAGCTGGGGGGCCGGGCTGCAGAGCCCACGCCTCGGCCGCTGCCCCACCCCATCATGTGGCCTCAGAGAGACAGGGAGACGGGGCCAACCCGACGGCCCYGAGCCGCACAGAGCACCTTCTGTATACACAGCCTCCGCTTCCCTGTCCTCTGTCCTCCTCTATGTCCCCCTTGGTATTTACCGCAGGGCATAGCGCCTCGTTGACATGTTTACGAAGGCACTTCAAGTGCTGGAGCCCTTTGGAATGTGAGATCCGCAGGGTGGGCAGGGGCTGGGGTCTGATTCCTTCCCCGATGTGTTTCTGGGACTTTGGACAGTCCCCAGAACACAGTACACACTCAAAAATCATTTGTCGCACCTCTGAATTCCTTCTAGTAAGGGAGACAGATAGTTCATGAATGAACAGATATGGTTCCAGGTGCAGATCAGAACTGGGCGGGGGGGACAAAAAGCAGAGTAAGGGGGGGTGGGGGGCTGGCTGTTCTAGGAGAAGCCGTCTTGGTGGTATTTGGATGGAGGCTCAAACAAATCAAGTGAATGAATGAAACTAATGAGTCACGGGGAGAAATCAAGTCTCCAGGGCGGAAAGCAATGGCTTTAAGTCCTGTCTCCACTACTCCTTGGCTCAGAAACCCTGGGTGGGTTCCTGACCAGGTAGCATGGTTTTCTGTTCTGTAGCAAGTGCTCACTAAATGACGCCTGCTGTTAGCAATAGTGATCCCGCCATGATGGAATGCTGAGAACAGCAAATTGCCGCTTTGGGATTGATGCTAGGACCTCGCACTGTACCGTAATTTGCCATCCCATAATATTTGTTAGGCAGCAATCTCAAGAGGACTCTCCAGAATGCTTTAAAGGAGATRCTTTTCCCGACGGAAGCCCCCATGGGGGTGAATGGGCCCATTTCAAGAYGGGGAGGCCACCCGCTGCCCCTCTGTTCCCTCTACGTGGGCCTGGCCCGTCACCTACCACCCAGGGCTTGCTGCAGAAGTTGTAGACGGAGTAGAGGGAGTTGACGGCTGGCAGCCCTCCGTACTGGAGGCCGATGACCAGGCTCCGGTAGTCCTCGCCCAGGGCCATACTGTAGGCGTGCTGTCGGACCAGGATGAAGTCGGGCTTGAAGGATCTGCCGAGAGAGTCACCAACAGCATCAGCACAGGGTGGGGGGGAGACTCGCTGGGGCACCAGGGCATGGGCTGTGGCTTGCCAGGCATAGGGCTGACCTGGTGTGGTCACTGCCTTGGGAGCTCTTAGCTCAGAGGGTGTGCGGGGCTGGGAGGGTGAGGATGAAGGTCAAAAGCAGATGCAGCCACTCGTCTTTCAAGTTCAACACTGAAAACGCCATGTACTCTCTCTCTCTCCTGTGATATTTTTATTGTGATTTTTGAAACCAGGAGAAAATGTATTAAATAATTCAGTAAATAGACCAGATTCTGCTGGCTGTGGGTGCTACGCGGAATGTATCACCTGTGGGGAGACCAACTGCCCCCCACAGTGGGTATTGTGGCCATCAGTTTTGCAGATGGGCACCCAAGGGTCAACGAGATTAAACACCTTGCTCAAAAAGACAAGTTGAAGGTGAGCTGGGGCGCAGTGGAGCCTGCTTATAATCCCAGCAGCTTGGGAGGCTGAAGCAGGAGGATTGTGARTTCAAAGCCAACTCAGCAACAGTGAGGCCCTAAGCAACTCAGTGAGACCCTGTCTCTAAATAAAATACAAAATAGGGCTGGGGTGTGGCTCGGTGGTTGTGTGCCCCTGAGTTCAATCCCTGGTCCCTGCCCTGTAGGTGAGTGAGAGGGCTGGTCTGGCTCTCAACCATTTCAGATCAAAGGTGTAGCAGTAGCAACCCCCAGAAGGTAGCAGGAGTATTCACGTAATGGTCAGATGTGTGCCAGGCTCTCTGCCAGGCCCCTCTGAGATGTGRTTCTGGCAAAGGCTCAGAGCTGGGGCAGGTCTGGACCATTCGTCCAATTTATAGTTGGGCATGCTGCAGCTCGAAGAAGTTAGCTGACCTTGAACTTGGGTCATCTGGCTCCAAGTCCATACCCTTTTTACCTCATTGCAGGGCTCCTGGTGGATTTACACATGGTTTTATTCACACTGTCAAGGGCCAAACTATTTCTGGATTCCTCGMTTCTAAGTCACATGAAAAAAAACCTCAGCCTCGTTGTAGATATGAGGCCTATGCTCCTCCTGGTGTGCATGATCAATCCACTTAGCTCTTCCGGAGCCAGGCCCTTAACTTCAAATAAATTGTGTCTCTTTAAAATAATTCAAATGTACGTTAAAAATAGCTCTCGAAGGGAAAGGACTGGTCCCCACTGAAGACAGAAGGAAAGAATGTGCAGGTGCAGATGATTCCCAAATCACAGTGAGCGTGGTCCCCCCATATGCCCAGGGCCTGACACGGTGGCAGCAGGTGTGTAATGAATATGTGTTGAAGGGCTKCACAGTGAGCAGGAGCTTCACTCACCTCAGTGCCAAGGGCGACACCAAGGTCCCCTTGGTTAACTGGTAACTCGGGTGAAGGCAGCCACTTGGACAGCGGCATCCTCTTCCTCCAGGGGATGCCTAGTGTGTTCAAGGGATGGCAGTGGGAAGAAATGGAGTGTGTGTGTGTGTGTGTGTGTGTGTGTGTGTGTGTGTGTCTCCAACATGGATCTGATGACAAAAAGGAGCACTTGTTTGTAAATGTAACCGTTTTCTGCCTTTATCTGATTTTTTTTTTTGGGGGGGGGAGAACTAGGGATTGAACCCAGGGCTTTGCAAATATGAGGCAAACACTTTGCCACTGAGCTACATCCCAGCTCCCTTTATCTGATTTTTAAAACAGTATCAAAAAAATCTATGGGAATGCTTTGACAACTAAGAGAAAATTTCTAATAATCCACTATACCGTATTTAATAGGCATCCATACTCTTAAATGATTTTATACTTTCTGTTAATTATGATTTTTGAATTTTTTCACATAGTATTATTATATCAGCRTTTCTCCTGCTATCAAAATACCAGCAAATATTTAGTTTCTGAGAGCTGCGTAACAATCCACGGAATGACACGCCACAATGAAGTACCCAGTCACCTACACTGTYTAGAAGGGGGTTTTCAATATTTCACTCCTCCATAATTGCAGACAAATCAAGGCCAACATTTTAAACTCTGCTTGTAAGACAGATTCTAAGTGGGATTAATGGATTAAAGGATATGAGTTGTTTTCAAAAAATGTTTCTTTTTTATCTTTTAAGGTACTTTCCACCCATTTCCTATGAGAATGTCCGTCTCACAACAGTCTCATCAACACGGCGGTGTTGGAATACTGTGTTGTTTTGATCACGGACTTCCCCCAAGCTCCTCTGCMTCTCGTTGTTGTTTCGGTTTGCATTGTTTGGACACTAGTTACAGTGAGTTTTTTTTTTTTCTTAACCATTTGCATTTTCTTTCCTGTTTCCATCTTTTTCTGTTTTAAAATAAAAGGGGGCCTTTTTTTTGCTCATTGATGAGGGCTTTGTGTGTCAGGGACGCTGCCCTTGACCTAGTACACATGCCAATGTCCTCACTAGATGCCGGCTCATCCCTTCTTCCTAAAGGGCTGTGCATCTTGTTCCAAAGCACACAGACACATTTCCCTTGCCCCCAGTCCAGACTATTAGTGGTTCTTTTTGTTCAGAGAGTCCCCAGGGTTACGGTCTGACCTTGCCCCTCCCTGACAGTGTGGGTTCCAGAAGGGACCCCAGTGGCAGCAAACATGGCGTCTCACTGGGGATAATACCCCCTTCATCTGTGGGGAAGAAGCTGGAGGGCTGATGTTGACGGGCTCCTAGGTTTTCCTTCTTGGCAGAGGATTCATCATGGGGCGCAACCAAGATCCAACAAAAACAAAACCTGGCTGCTGAGAGAGAGGGCGTCCAGACCGCGCTCCAGGAGCAGAACTCTCTCCCCATGTCTGGTCCCAGACATCTCTCTTCAGAGCTTCTAAAAGCCACACTGAAGTCAGAATTCTTCTGATGCTTTGACACAAAAGACAAAGGTCAGCTCCAATTTGTCTTTAGGATTTGGACATCTATCTCCAGTGTCCACAACATGCTCTATCAAAGTCATCCCCCTTCCTAAAGCCCACTAAAGTCTCCCAACCACAGCTCCTATGAGGCCACAGGCCCTGGGGTGGGGCTGACCCGCCCCTGAGCCTCGCTGGCCACTCTCCTTCCTCCAGTTCCTCTCCCTGGATGGTCTTGTCCCACGGGGTCAGAGGTGCCTCGTCCTTCAAGACCCCTGTCCCACTGTTGTATCAAACTCGGACCAGCCTCCACAGTGCCCACTTCCTCTTCTTCTGGGCTCCCCTGGACATTTAAGTCGTCCTGCTCCGTTTAGTTGCTTTCCGTCCCTCTCTCTCCTGGAAAGATGTCAGCTCAGTGAGAAGAGGCACCTGCTTGCCTTGGGCAGGGGAACCCTGACGATGTGTTCGGGTGAAGGATCGCATCAGTGAACGTGGGTACCAAGGGGTAGCTCGCCAGCCACCAGGCAGTGGAATGGCCACTGCAAAGGGAGGGGCCTCTTCCCTCGTGGTCCTAGAGAGGAGACCAGGTCTGGTAGCCAAAGTATCCAGCGGGTCACATGCGTCCCCTAGTCACTACAGGGCCACTCTACAGGGACACAATTCAGTATTTACAGAGGAAGGTTAGTGTTACCCAGAAGTTTTTAGCCCCTGGGAGTTCAAGTTGGTCGCCATGACCTCTGAGGATTCTCCCATCCGGTGTGTAAAAGTCATTTCCCAGGGTGACGTATCAGGGTGGACAGGCATGGTAGAGTTTAAGTCTTGTTTTTCATCACTACGGAGAATGCTGAGTCCTTGCTGCATGTCCAGGTGGGAAGGATTGGCGAGGATGATGGAGGAATTAGTAGCTCAGGCCAGGTGCCCAGTCCCTTCCCTTGAACCCAGCACCCCAGCTTCTCCATCCAGCCAGGGGACGGCTACGTCCTGCCTGTCACCCCAACCTCTGTGAATGTGTCCCCCAGCCGTTACCAAGCCCGGACAGTGGACCAAAGGTGCCGACGGAGGTCGGGGATCCCGAGGTGGCTGGGACAGGATCCCTGCTCTCATGACTCTGGCGACCCAGGCGGCTTTGCTAAGTGAGGGAAGGAGCAGGAGCGCGCGGGAGATACTAGGGCGCCAGGTGTGGGCTCAGCTTTCTCTGGGGGTAGGTATGGGTAAGCGTGTGGGGGAGGCTTGGGTCTTGAAAGAAAAGCAGCAACTTGAGAGTGGGCAGGGGTTTGAGGGTGCTCCAGGTCGTGGTGGCACCTGTGGCCAAGGGACGGGCTCTGTCACAGGGCTTAGTGGCCTGCGCTGGCTTTTGCTGGGTCTGCTCGTCTCCTCTCTCTGCCAGCAGAGCTCCCACCAGGGGACCGCATCTCCTTCCCTGGTCGGGAACTGAGTGAGGATTGAACCGCGGAGGCCCAGTGTGAGCTGAGGAGCCCGCTAAGGCCCAGAAGCAAGCTGGGCTGTCGGGGACCACCTTCCTGCTCCACGGAGGCGTCCCTTCAGTCCCAAGTGCTGGTTGGGAACAGAGATGAAGGCCCCGTCAACACCAGCCTGAACCCTGCTGAGCAGGAAGCAGAGTGAGCTTTCTCTTCTGAGCTGGGTGAGCTATGGAGGGACCCCCGCACCCCGTTTCCTGTTCCTCAGTAGGTTAAACTGCGTCGGTGGCTTTCTACCAATATTGCTCTGATATCGAGAAGAAGGGGCCAAGTTTCCAGAGAGTTCCGTGGTTGGAGCATAGGTAGGATTTGGCAGCAAGAGATGAGGTTGGGTAAACAGTTCCAGACACCCCAGTTAGGCCCCCTGATCCTCGGCTCTGTCTGCCGTGCCACTGGCCCAACCCTGGGTCTCTCATGCCTGGGCCAAGGAGGTCCCCTTCAGTCCCACACGAGAGGGCACTTCCTGGTTGCAGACTTTCCCTGTTTTCTCTCTCTCTCTCTCTCTCTCTCTCTCTCTCTCTCTCTCTGTTGTTATTTCAGCTTTAGATTTAACAGGACTCTGTTAGTTGGGTTATTGATCCCAGGTATTTCTCAGAAGTGGCTGCTGGCACGGCAGGGGAAGCCAAGGAGGATGGCTAATTAAACGGCAAGGA